TTTCACCTAACTCTACTATGGGGTCACAGTGATGAGTTTCACCTAACTCTACTATGGGGTCACAGTGATGAGTTTCATCTAACTCTACTATGGGGTTACAGTGATGGGTTTCACCTAACTCTACTATGGGGTTACAGTGATGGGTTTCACCTAACTCTACTATGGGGTCACAGTGATGAGTTTCATCTAACTAACTATGAGATAATGGTGATAAGCTTTACCTGACACTGCTGTCATCGGCGTTTTTAACTCCCGAATGTAGCTCTGTAAATAATGGATCGACTCTTGTATGAATAACTATAAGTTTCTCTAATGCTGCAGCGGATTTCAGACGAACAGCCCTGTTTGGATCATTCAAAGCTTTCAAGAATGTAGTTTGGAGTTGAGGTAAAAATGGTTTTAACATCACTCCTACCTGTAAATTGAGAAAAACGTACTCTTTAAAGGTCCATGTCTTGTAGCACATCTCGTGTTTTAGAACATTTAGTCTATATTATTTTCTTAACTCGTTAATATCTACACTTACAATGTATAAATGTTGATATATAATGTCAGGCTTTCTGAAGCACTGAGTGAAGGATTCTGGGTAAAACTTTTGATACTATTTTAAGATCAAAGGGAAAACAATTTTAAACCTAAAAAGCCCATAGCACAAGAAAACTTAGCCACCAAAAAAAAGAGTATTTTGTAGAATGAACTTTTTTTTATCATAGTTTAATAATCAGAAAATTCATCACAGAACATGTAATATGTCACTCCTTAGTAAAATTCTCCGCTGCAAAAGTCAGACAGTGAACTATTCTTGAAAGAAGTCATAGTAGATATCATTTAATTTAGTCACTTATGTACCATTTAGAAGCAAAATGAAAACCTTTAAAAAACTAAGACGATTTCAAGACCTTAAAACCACAAATGCAATGCATATTTGAGACATCTTTGTATATCCTCCAGGAGCCCTGGGTGAGTATTTTTCCCTTTGTGTGTGTTGCGTCTGAGACTTTCATTCATTATTTTTTTATTTTTAATTCTTATCCTCTATATGCTCCATAAAATGAGAAACCTTTGATTTTTTTCAAAATATTTCTAGGTAGAAACTTAATATGCAAATACAGACCTTTGCAAGTAGCAAGCCTAATGTGTCCAAGACAGCAACTTTAACATTCCAACTGAATCGATCACCAAGAATACGAATTAAGGGTCCTGTAATATGCACAACTGAAGGTTTCAATGCTTCTGCACTGGTCAGCTTGATGACTTCTCCTAAACCAATCGCAGCTTGTTCTCGTAGTTCAGGAGATCCATTTAAAATACCTTCTCTGAATAGTGGCAGCACTGGTGTGATACCCTGAGAAAGAAGATACAAATCAAACTTGTTAGATTACAACCATGTGCCAGTGAATATCTATCCATTTAATTATTATTTCATCGGATAAAAAGGAATTATAAGATAAGGTTATTCGACTTAGATATCTATGTTTGGTGATATACATTGAAGACTTAGATATCTATGTTAGGTGATATACATTGAAGACTTAGATATCTATGTTAGGTGATATAACATTAAAGACTTAGATATCTATATTTGGTGATATACATTGAAGACTTAGATATCTATGTACAGTGGTATACATTGAAGACTTAGATATCTATGTACTGTGATATACATTGAAGACTTAGATATCTATGTTTGGTGATATACATTGAAGACTTAGATATCTATATTTGGTGATATACATTGAAGACTTAGATATCTATGTTTAGTGATATACATTAAAGACTTAGATATCTATGTACAGTGATATACATTGAAGACTTAGATATCTATGTACA